CCACCATGGCTCCTCTATGTAGTGATGAAAAGGTCCATTCGTCTAGAAGATTCAACAATCGTAAGTACATATGCACCCAACACCACGGCACCTAAATCTATCAAGCAAAGGCTGAAGGGACCTGGAGTGAGAAATAGCTCCGGCAGTGACAGGCGGAGACGTTAGTGCACCACACTCCATCCCGCACGGGACTTCCAGAAGGATCAACAAAGAAACAGAGCACCTGATGCTATAAACCGCCAGACAGAGCAGAAGTCTACAGAACACGCCACCCGACAGCGCACAACACACATCCTGCCCCAGGGTCCACTCTCCGGAGAGACCACGTGCTAGACCCAAAGCCATCAAATGAAAGGGAGGAAGTCATTCAAAGCATTTTCTGACACAACAAAGAGACACTGGAAATCAGCAAAAGAAATAGAAGTGGGGAACACACAGGCAGGGAAATTGAAGAGCACACTGTTAAACTTCCAGGGTCAAGGAAAAACCACGGTGTCCCTGCACACGGCCTGCACACAGCAGGTGTCCAGTAAACAGTCGGGTGCGCAATTCAGGGAGCGCTTTTCACACTTGCCCCAGCTCCACCGGCTCCACGATCACGGACACACGGGCATCGTCCCAAACCTCCCTCAGGCCAACGGTGCCAGTTCACCCTGGGTGGCTGAGGCAGCCTTGGGTGACCAGCGTGGCCTTGTGGTGACCCCATGGACCTTTGCACAGAAGGGCGCCGGGTCCCTGAAGCCTCACGAGTGGGACGTGATGTGCCCCTGCTTGGGAAGAGAGTCTCATGCCACCATGAGCTTCAGAACTCCCAGCTCTGACCTGCTCTGGCCTCGGCCAGGGGAGGTGGTAGGGCCCTGCGAGAGGGACATGAGACTTCCAAGCCCCAACTCTGGCCCTCCCACCCGGCGTGTGAGCTCAGGACACTTCTCCTTGGTTCTAAGCCTCAGCCCTGCACAGGCAGGTGGTCGACGGGCCTTGTCCAGGGCAGCTGTGAGGCGCATCACCGACAGATCCCACCTCCTCCTGGTGACCCCCTGGGAGACTTGTCTCACTTGTGGGTGCTCACGCAGCCCCCAGGACAGCCCTGACAGGTGGCCCCATCAAAGCCCCCACTACACAGGCGGGGAGTCCATCAGAGGCCTGGAGAGAAGGCCTGGGCTCAAACCTGGGCCAGCCCCTGGAGCCGTGTCCCCAGCACATAGCCGCCCGAACCCCAGGCAGCGCACCTGCCCTCCCCAGGTGCCGGGACCCTGACCTGCGTCTCAGCACCTGGTACAGACCAGGGCGCGCAGCATGCGGCCTCGAGCCGGCAGCAAGGCCCCCTTAAGAACAGGGGGTGGGGGTGGGGGTGGACGGCTGTGCCCAGAGCAGCAGCTGACCCGTCAAAAATAACCCAGGAGAGGCTCCAAAGGCAGCCAGGCCCAGGACAAACCTCAGGTCCCACACCCCGGTGCCCAGGCGGGGACCCAGGATGTCCCTTTTAGGCCAGACTTGAGCCCATGCCCTCTCTAAAACACCATCCTTCTCTCCTGCCCGCAGGCTTCTAGCTATCCCAGTGGCCAGCAGAGAGAAGCATGTCTGTCTGTTTTCTCCTGTGACCACACAGGACTGAGGGACTGGCACAGAATCGAGTCACTGGTCAAGAATGTCCCAGGCACAGTCCTGCAACAGCAACACACATACGTTAGGTCCTGGGAGACCTCACTCAACTCAGAGAAAGAAAGAAGTCACGCAGTACAGGGGCCCCAGGAAACAGCATAAAGTGTGGAACAATCTTTCCACAGAGACCGATGTCCACCACCAGTCCAGGGGGCTTTCCAGAGCGACCACACCCAAGCACAGAGCTCTGGGCCCTTAGGACTGCTGAACACGTGCTACTGCGGCCAGAAAGCCCGGGACAAGTTCAACCGGGCACGAGAGAGTTAACTGGTCACAAACTCGCAGCGGGGCTCAGGGCTCCCACCGTGCCTGAGCCAATGCAGGCCGGGCACTGCAACACTGACCGCTGAGTCAGGCCGTGGTGCTCCGGGCGGATTGTTCGCAAAGACAAAAGGGACGCTGACAGCCCGTCTCTCCAGCCAGGCAGGTGGGCGCTGGGAGACGGCAGCTGACCCAGGCAGCGCGGCCCTGGCCGTCTCTCAGCGGCAACACGCCCAGGGGATCCTCCCACCACGCCAGCGGTCTCTGGAACAGTGGGCCCAGAGGTGGCACGACCGACAGGCTTCAGTTCACCAGGCCTCGGAAACAAAGAGCTGGACAGTCCCTCTGGCTCCTTGTCCCTGTCTGGGTCCCCACCCCATGGCAACCAACAAGTAGACTTCAGGCCTGTCACTGTCACAGGTGTTAAACGGCCTGCCAGGGGATCCAGTTACAAAACAGTGTCGCCTGAAGTCAGGAGCAAACGGTGGTGGTCAAAGCTCACCCTGAGAAGCCCTCAAAGGCCCCAAGACCGTGAGCAGAAGACCCACCCCCAGAGGACAGCACCTGGAGGTGTGGGTTCCAATCCCGCCTCGGCCACCCTGCACAGGCTGTTTAACCTTCCCTCACCTCAGTTTCACCATCCATAACCAGACGAGGTCAAGTCGATTCCGACTCACGGCAACCCCACTGTGTCAGAACAGAGCTGGGTTCCGTGGGGTTCCCAATGGCTGGTTTATGGAAGAGTATCACCGGGCCTCTCCTCTAACATCCCTCTGGGCGGGCTCGAACCACCAACCTTTCGGTTAGCAGCCAAGGGTGTTAACTGTTTACTCTAGCCAGGGACTCCTTTCCTCATCTATGGAGCGAGGACGGAAACAGCCCCAACTTCAGAGCGCTGCTGGGAGGCCAGGAGAGAAAGCCTGTCCCGCCAGAGCCATGTCCCACGAGGCAGGCATGGTCCCCAGGGGCCGTCATCTCACCCTCCAGATGAGAGTTCGAACGGCTCCAGAGGGAACAGCATGGGCAAGACAGACCCAGACGGTAAGAGCCAGAGCCAGCATTTGAACCCAGATCTGTGGGCTTCAGAGGACAGTTAGCGGAGTCCCAGCCGGGAGGCAACAAAGGGATCTGGGTCTGAGTGGGGAAGGCAAGCTGCCTTTTAGCAGAAAGAGCTGCACACGTTACAGGCTTACTCTGACCTGGGTGCCATTGCACACCCCCATCCTGAGCCCCTGGTGTGCACCCCACAAAGAGCCAGGACAACAGCTCACAGGAGAAACGCCCCCCTCACGTGCCATGAACCCCAAAAAGGAAGACCCAAGTGAAGACAGGAAAGCCAAGTCCCCCCGACACTGTGCACAAAGGCTCCAGGTATCACGGAGCAGATCCCAGGGCGAAAACAACAGCAGGACACTTGCTCCTCACCACTCCCGGCTCCCCGAGGGCCCAAGAGCCAGAGCAGGGAGTTGAGCCACCAGCCACCCCTGCAAGCTGGGAGGCCCAGGCCACATCCCACACCCACCAGTGGGCGGCTCTTCCTGCCACTGGGCTCACAGGGACCCAACGCCCGTGGAAGCCACAGGGAGACGCAGCTCACGCGGACAGCGCACCCAGCTAAGTGGGCATGTGGCAACTTCGCGGCTGTCTGACCAATCCTCCAGACCCAAGAGCAGGGTCCACCCAGCTCTCCTTCCTCCCCCCGCCCTTGACTATGTGCTCACTGGCCCACCCTGCCCCATCTGCTCCTCCAGGTGCCCACCCCTCCCAGACTACACACACACACACCTCCCCACAGGAGGCACAGAACCCAGCGTCTTGGCTTTGGCCCCAAGATCTGAAGCAGAGCCTAGTGTCTGAGAGAAGCAGCCTGCGTCCTACGGGCCCCATCACTCCTCCAAGACACACGGACTCCCAAACCCATCAATATTCCCTCTGCACTGGTGAAACAGCCGACATCAATCACAGAGCTGGGAACGAGACCGCAGGCAAGGTCCTTTGTGCCCCTGAAGGGTGTGTGTCCTGCCCCAAACAGCTGCTCAAAGAAAAAGGCGGGGGTGGGGGAGGCCTGGGACAGAGGAAGGGTGGCTGTGCTTCAGCAAAGCCTCTCAGACAAAAGGCCCACAGGAGAGGCCTACTAGGCAGGTGTCATCTGGCCCTGGTCACGTCTGACCTGCGGCAGCTCCATGAACGTCAGACCCCGGTTGGCAGTGACCAGCTGCCCCCATCTACTGGGCAAGTCAGAGAGGTGCCAAGGAATCACCGAGTTCCTGTGAGTATCAGCAGACACCGCACAGCGTGCCCGTGTACGGGCCCTCTGCAAAGCCCTCTACCCACAGGAACTAAGAGATGCTGTGGAAACACCTGTTGCCACAGTCGACTGTGGCCTATGACGCTCCCACATGTGTCAGGGCAGAATCGTGCTCCATACAGCTTTAATGGCTGTAATCTTAGAGAAAGGAGCTCTGGGGGCACAGTGTCTAAGGCATTTGACTGCTAACCAGAAGGCTGGAGGTTCAAACCCACCAGCCACTCCTTGGAAGGAAGACTGGGCAATCTACTTCCACAAAGATTTACTGGCTCAGAAACCCAGTGGGGGCCTCTATGGGTCAGAATGACTCAATGGCAGTGGGTTTGGTTTTGGTTTGGTAACCTCAGAGATCACAGGTCCTTCTTCTGCAGTGGCACTGGGTGGATTTGAACCACCAACCTTTTGGTTAGTAGACGAGTGCAAACCATTCACACCACCCCGAGATCTGTTACCAGCCACATCTTACAGATGAGAAAACCAAGTCACATCATGGTGATGTCAGCCACCTGAGGTCACACGACGAGTGCGCGGGGAGGCAGGAGTGGCACCCAGGCAGGCCGACTCCGAGCCCGTTCCCCACCTGTCACAGTGCGGCAGTGGGGAAATACCACCTGCCCTCTTTCACTCTCCTCAGTGTCTCAAAGGGACAAGGAAGGGAGCTTGCAAACAGCACAACCAAAGCTTTGGGGTTAGGGTGCCAGGGTGGAGAGTTTCCTCCCACAGGAGGAGAACCCATGGCCCACCTGCCCCACCCCGTACACATACTCACCCATAGGTCCGCTGGATCAAGGCGGGGTGGAGCTGCTGCACACCAACTGCAAAGCCTGAAACAGAGGGGTCCGCCATGGCTCACACGGCGAGCAGGAGCACAGGCCACACCCCCCCAAGTCCAAGAAGTAACCAGCTTCCTCTCCCCTTCCAGTCCCTGCAGCAGGTGAATCCCCAAAGCATCTAGTACAACTGGCTGACTGCCTTCCTAACAACCTGGGGTGACAACCCACTTTGTCCCAGAAAGGGGTCTGGCTCGGGGCAGCTCCAAAGCTGAGGTGACTGCCCTGTGCTGCTCTGGGGTCGAGTACAGCTGACTGCACCATGGGGCAGGGGCCGCTTCCACTCACAGACCCGGGGAAGGAAACTGCTCTCACCTGGCTGCAGGCTCCGCGGCTTGGCACCCAGGTACGCCAAGTTCACGTTGGCCTTGCGGCCGTCAATGATGGGGTTAGGGTCTTTGCAAGCCCTCTCAGCGGCTGCCCGATCTGCCATGGTCACCTGGGTGGAGCAGACACAGTCTCAGGGGCATGGAGACAACCGGAAGACAGAGGCTGAGGCTTTGCCCAACACCCACACCCCCTCCCTCCCTCTGAGGGTGCCCATCACTCAGTCCCCTCAGACCCCAAGCCAGGGCCCTCCCAAAAAGTTGCCTGTTGCCCCAAGAGGTCCAGGTCCTCCCCTCCAAGTGCAGGCATACCTTGGGGTCAAGGGCAGAAACAATTCCCAGGGGGGAGAGGACAAAAATTAACCCCAAAGGAAGGCAGGGGACTCCAGCCTGCCCCCCAACGTGGCCGAGAACTTCCGCATGGGAGGCCTGGGGGCACTGTGGTCGGGGGGAAGTAGCAGCAACATCTTATCACTTAAGGGGATGTTTATTTGGGCGACCGAGGGGCTGCTGAGGAATAAGGAAGGGGCTAAAGGCCCCAAAGCACCCCGGGTGGAACCTGTGCCCCTCACTCGCTTGTGGCCCCAGGAAACCTCAAGAGAGGCTGTCTACCCCAAAAATCCTCTGGGCAAGATGAGGAGTCCTAACCGAGTTTCCTTTACGGGGTGGGGGTGGGGAGCTGGGGCCTGGGGGCGTCAGCGCAGGCGGGCCTGGGCCCCGGCGCGCGGCAGGTGCGGGCCTGGGAGGCGCCCGGGGACCGGGGCGCTGGGAGTGCACCCGGGCTGACTCAGCGCCCGGGACGCGATAAGAGGGCGCTCGGGGCCACTTACGAAGCCGTAGCCGCGGGACTTGCCCGTCTGGCGGTCCGTGATGACCACGGCCTCCTCGATGTCCCCGAAGCCCTCGAAGTACTTCCTGAGCGAGGCGTCCGTGGTGTGGTAGGGCAGGCCGCCCACGAAGATCTTGGTGAACGTGGTGTCCTTCTGCGAGCCGTGCATGGCGCCGCGGGCGGCCAGCGGCCGCGCCAAGCCCGCGCTCGGGGCGCACGCCGCCGGCTGCAACAG